ATGCAGGCGAGCACACACGCGTCGTGTGTAATCAACGTCTGGCGAGCATCTCGTGCACCTCTTTACCATTGTGCATCGCCATCGTGCTCGTTATGCGGTTTCTTCTGCTGGGCAGATGTGCGATTCCCTGGTGCGTGGGTCGTGATCGTCCAGAACATGCCCCGGCGAAATTCATCTTTTGTATAGAGTGGATTTATAATATCATAAAGCGAATTTATTTGTGATTTTTGTATTTCGTTTAATTCGTTGGTGGTTTTTAAAAATTTTTTTTTAGAAAAGAAGTAGAGTTAAATATAATCGGCGATTGTTTGTTCTGTTCTAATTTAATTGCACATCGGCACCTGGCACCTGCTGTGTTTTCGTGTGCTCTATAAGCCACTTTGGCAACGCGCGTAATTATGCAATGACAGTACCACGCACATTTATAGTAATCGTAATAATAGGAGTGAGTAGCGTGCTCGTAGTTCATGTACCCTGTTGACAATTAGGCTATTTTTAGGAGCAAGGCTTGTCTATTAGTGCTATTATTTCATTTTATTATTTTTTATGGTAAAAATATATATAAAATATAGTTCCCTATAGTGTGTTGAAATGATAAATTTTAATTTAAAAAGCGAAGTTTTCATATATTTTTGAAGTCGTGTTAGTTACAACATTTATAACTCAAGAACGACTGGAGATATTTTGATGATTTATGATTTATTGCATTCAGCTAGGCCTGGAATAGCATAATAACCTTTGAAATATAGAAAATTATGATTTAAAGGGCGTTAAATAAGCGATGAAAATTGGTATAGGGATTCAATCATAGTTATTCTTTATTAATTTCATCCGAGATTGAAAAGCAATTTATTTCTTTAGCCGTGAAAATAAAACACATACAGATTTATCTTTACCCACCTACTATTAGTATAAATTAAGTATTTTATCATTGATTTCAATGAAATAAATAATCTATCCTACCTTGAAACTGAAGAAGATCTTTGTTTCTATTTCTACGAAGATATCTCCACGCATTAGTACTTGTATTACTCATATTGAGATAATTATGTAGACTTTTATGTATTGAGGATGAGTTGAAGACCTAGAACTATTTATCTTTTTATCTTCACACTTTGGTATTTATGCGTGCGTATAAATTAACTCCACTACGCACTTATACAACAACACAACTACACGCAGATGAAGCAAATAAATAATTATCCTGATGTTCTCATCGATGTGTCTCATCGTAATTAATATATTTAAAAATAACGAACCTCGCGCGTATAATGAGCGTTCTTGTGAAGAATTGAAGAGTTGAGGAAGTTTTAAGAAACGAAAGTTGTTGTTTTTCCTAAAAACAGGTAATAACTTTAATGGACGCAGTTATTTTCTATGTTTTGTTGTGAGGCTAGTTTGGGACTTATATATAAAATATTTAAGTACCTATTGCAGGCATCAGAAATGATGATTGATGAAATATATGACAGAAAGTTTTTATATTTATGATAAGTAAAAGTGTTAGTTGAAAAGTTTTACTTATTTATTAAATACTCAAAAACAATTTGTTGTAAAAGCGTTATTCTTGGAATAATTAATTTTAAGATAAACTCTACGTCAAGTTATATAACTAAATTATTTATTTATATTTATTACCAAACATTATTAACAATTAAAGGCAATACTTCAAAAAGATATATAATATTCATAGATTTTGGCCTGTATCTTTTGATAAAAAAAAGTTAAATAAAAAATTGTTTGTAATATAAGATTCAGAACTTAATTCTTTGTTAATTTTAAAAGAAATTATTATCGTATGTTAATTGGTTCTTGAATAGTTAATTCATTACTATTATTTTTCATAAAATGTAGTCAACATTGAAATCATCTAATGTTTTAGACGCAAATGTGATTTTGTTTGTTTGTAATGTTTTCCCGCATAAACCACTGAACCAATTTTGATGTATTTTTGTATAAAGTTATTTGTGACCCAGGAGAATGACATAGGCTACATTTTGTCGCAAAAATCTAACTAGAAGGTTGTAAAATATGGTATCAAATTTTATATTGACATTCAACCGTAATTGTTGCTATATAATTCGAATAGAGATGCGCTAAAGTACATTATTACCATATTTCATTATTTTAAATCAAAATTGAGACGAATTTGCGAAGAAAATCCAGTACTACTGCACAATAAAATTAATTGAATTTATTACCCTTACTACTTACTACAAAACCACACAAAAAGGCAATATCGTATTCTTATCGCATCACGAGCTGCAGTTAGTTTCTTTGTGCTTCTTTTATCGCCGCCGGTTTCCTCGTGCACCGCGCACAATATTACTATTACACTATATTACACACCATTACAATTACAATCAATGTAATGCAACGTGAAGTCGTAACACTCACAACGTCATCATATAGTGCACACAATACCCACACCATCATACCGTGGATTAGATAAATTATCCACTTGCTCTTTCAACATGCTATCTATTTTTTGTTTCGCTTTTTATTAGAGTGCATCTAAAACAAACCCTTTTGTTCTTTTCTTGGCAATCTTATACTATAAAGTAGCACTTGGTTTTCGATTTCTTTGTGTGTGCGTTTTCTTCAACTTTGCTATTGCTGCACGATCGCAGGAGTAATATTTTGATGCGCACGGATGGACTGATGTCGTGCATAGACCAGATGTTATGCACTTGTCTCAACGAACAGTGTTGCATATGTTGCATCGTTGCATGCAATGCAAGTCAACGACGTGCGTCGTCTTCATTCATCGTTTTATTCTGTAATTATACTTATTATGCTTGACTATAAATATGTTTTATGTTTGTCGGGCATGTTGGCGTGTCACTTTCTTTCTGCTAAATATCTTTTTGTTTATTTTGTTTCAATGCTTCCGTGTGGATTTTCTGCATGTTATACACATGTTATATTTTCGCCCACGAGTTTTTAATATGAAATTTGTTGATAATTTTGTCTTAAATCATCTTAAATCACATACAATTAACCTAATTTTTGTTTAGTTTTGTTATTTTTATAGAATATTAATTTCTAATTATAAAAATTCAGTTTTTTATTAATAATTATTGTTAAAAGCTTAAAAATTTGGTTTAAAAATGTTTTTTTCAAAGTTTTTTATTTTTGTTTGATAATTGTCAAGACAGCGTCTTTCTTTGCAAAATTCCTGTCAATAAAACATTAAAAAGTTAATTTTAGAAAAAATTTATCTTAGCAAAATTTTTTATAGTTATTTTGAACCAAAAAATTACCTTAAAATTTATTTCGTTAAACTTTGCAAACTTTTCCTCAATTTTGCAAAATGTTGTTGCAGAATTACACTTACCTAGCACATAGTGAGATGAAACTTTTAACACCTCGTCTAATTCCAACGCAAATCCGCCCAAAACTTGCATGCATAATCGAAAAACTTCCGGGCCCTTTCCAGACAATTGAGCGTTATGCACAACGGTGTACGAGTAACTTAAGTTTTCGCAAAGTTTGCATCTTTATCTTAAAATCTCAACGCTCATAATTAATAAACACACAATCCGCACAAAATCACCGAATAAATTCATTCACTTTAAATTATAATTCAATTTAATTTGCTAAGCAGATATTAATTGCAATTAGAGTTTAATTTCAAGTGGAATATTTGTAACTTTAGATCAAGATTACAGATTAATTAATGTGATATAAATGACGTCTATAAATGCCAATCGAATCCAGTTTCACTTTCATCGTTTCATGAGGGAAAAGAAAACAGTGCAAGTCATTTAATTTCAACTCGTGGTTGAATGCAGTTAACAAATTAAATTCGCAATTATTTGAGCAACTTATCTATTTATCTTGCCATTGAATAGTTTTAAGGTTGAACATTTACAGGCATTCGCGCGCAATTAATTGATTATGGTCTTTAATGCGTTAACTAGCGTTATTGTGTTTTGTTAAATCAAATTGGCAATTAATAACTTCCTCATTACATCAATTTATTAATAATTATTACGGTTCTTATTAATGAATTATGATTAGTTATTAGTTGAATTGTAGGTTTGTTTATTTTATGTCAGTTATTAATTCACTGGCTAATTATTCTTGAATTGTTCGAACTTAATTAGTGTTTTTTGGCTGGCCTTGCGAATGTTAGCGATGCGTCATGTAATATCTACTTTGATATAGCTATTTACATGTTTTCGCTGTTTTTGTGAACCGCCAAATCCACGCTGAACAAAATTGTTACACGTAATTATCGTGTCAATTTACGACGGATGGGATTTGATACGCCGACACGCTGTAATTCAATTTCACGATGATTACGACCAGAAATTTGTTGGTCTGTTGAAGATTTGTAAAAAAGTGTGAACATGGAAAGAACATGTTGTGTTGGCAAGTGTCACAAATTGCATATCAATGTGATTAATCTTGTTGTGGTGTAATAATTTATTTTTTGATGTTTTTGGTTTGGTGTTGATGAATTGAAAGATGGAAAAATATTTGTGTAATATGTGGAGAATTTATTAACCGAATTTCGGAAGGTGTTATTATTATCGCATTAGCATATGGCATGTTTTCACAAACGCAACAAAACATTACATTTCAAAATGTGGAAACGTAATATTATTTTGTAATATTTTTCGTTTTGTAAAAAACTAGTTTTTGGCTTGTAGTTTTTAGTGAAAATCTAATTAATTTTTACTTTCTTGTTAAATGACTTAGTATCTGGTGATTTCATCAATAAAATGCCTAATTTTCAATTTAAAGAAATAAGAAAAGCTATAACTATGCTCGAATATCTATACCAAGTTTTATACCTTATTTAACACCCTTTAAATTATAGTTTTTTATATTTTAATAGATATTCTCTTATTTGAGGTTGAGACGAATCCAACAAATCATTGATTATCAAAATCGGCCCATCCGTTCTTGAGTTATAAATGTTGTAACTAACCTTACTTTGTTGTATAAGTATTACATAGATAGAAAATACTAATAAATTATTTTTGTTACAGGTATGCAACCCGTTCTACACTATCAAAAGTATCCAAACTTTTTTCATTGAAAGTGAGTAATTTTTGATTTGTTTTTCTAAGAATATTAAACCGTTAATTGTCAACGCGTTTGATATTTTTGCAAACATGTCCAAACTTATCTACAACAAGAAACATTGTATTGTACTGAGTGAAAACTCATTTCGTATTCTGATACCACTCGACACTGCGTGGAATTTGCCGTTAGTTATGACTTATGCGACGATTGTAATGTGCCATACTGAATAACAATAGCTAAAAAGTGTCCTCATTCGACCGTTAAAACTAAAACTTTAAACTTGTTACAAAATTCTTTAAAATTCACCAAAAACAAACTCGATTTCAATGTTTTGACACTTTTTGCATCAAAATATGTCATTTTCATTCACAACATCTGTGGGTTATGCCAGTGGGAGGGTTTATTTTCTTTCAAAGCTCACTCTGGCGACACGCCGACACAATGAATAAGAATTGGTTGAAATGTGCGCCTCGTGCGTTCCATTTGTTTGGATGGCTGCAATGTAATGCAAACCACCCCTTCGGTTTGTCTAGTCGAGCGTACTGGGCATACTGCAGGGAAAACGGGAACGACCGAAATCATTGGATTGTTGGATCGTTGACTGAATGGAGCTCGTGCTTGTTTGGTTTTATGTTTATTGTCGCGTCTGTTTCTGGCCATTTTGAGTGCGCTTCGACGTTGAATTACGGCGTGACGTTGAAGGGACGAGTTTATTTAAGTGTGTCTGCGGTTGATGAGCATTCATTTATTGTCAGGCGAATATTAACAGCTTGGCCAATTAGGTAGGTAAAGGGAAACATACTGACTTGAAGAAATAACCAATATTTTCTGTGAAGCAGAAAGTTGGGTTTTATTTGTGAAATTACACGAAAAGTATTTATGATATGCATGTGATTTTTACAAATGGTAATTCTGGATAAATTCTACGCCTAATTCTGAAAGAATATCTATGGTATTATTATTATACAAAAAGTTATAAATAATTAAAGTTGGAACATTTTTTTAAAATATTTTATTTAGAGTTTTATTGTGTTTTTTTAGTTTTTAAATTATTACTCGAAAAGTATTAATGCTGCGCTTGCCATTTTCTCAAAAGTTAATCCTAAATAAATTCTACGTATAATTTTGAAAAAATATTATTAATATTATTATTACCTAGAAAGTTATAAACGATTAAAATTGAATTTTATCAAAATTTACAAATATCACACAAATGTGCTTATAACTACAGATAAAAATTTGTTATAAATAAAATTTTGACTCTTTTAGATGCTCAATTTAATACGGAACACATTACTGAAGAAATAATTAAAATAACTTAAGTAATCTCCGAGTAATTAATAAAAGTTTGCAGCAATAAACATTTCATGACATCATCACAAGAAAATCTAATTGCTTTGATTTTTAGTAACCATTTTGTTTTTAATACATTACACTGCATCACCTCGTCAACAATATTTTCTTGCATCAGGACCTTGACGTGGCTTTGTCTGGTTGCAACGTTTTTGCATCGCGTCATATTCAAGTGTCGCTTATCTCGCTTAACAGGCGTAACCAAACATGCACGAATGTGTAGAGACCTGTAGACAATGACTTCCTAATAGCATCTAATCGTAAATACATATTTTCTCGATTTCTTGCGCAGCCTTTAACAGTTATATGCATTCACGACGCTCAACGACGTCAGCCACACAGCACAAAAATCCTAACCGCAATCACAAAAAACAAAACAACTTAGTGACATGCAAAAAAAAAACCTCTTCAAGCTGGGTTCTCGAAAGACGAAAGAGTTTACTCATAGAATAAATGTGCATTCATTCATTCCGCGGCAAAGTGCAATTTGTTCGTCATTCATATAATCATAATCATATGCACTTTACAAACGCGAGCTTGGTTAATGCGAATAGCATTACAATGTACTACTGAATAGACACATTAAAAAAAACTCGATTTACGTTGCGTTTTAATATTGTTGCGCGCATTACGCGCATAGTATGCAAATTAATCTGTCGGTCACAATAGTTCTTTTGTTTCAAGTTTATTGCATTTATTTTTGCGTTCATGCGCGATAAATCACCATAACCGCATGAGGGAATTACATTTTTTAAATTATAATACACGAAGGTTCACAAAAAGTAAAATAACGTGGAGTAATAGTAAAAATCTACGAACAATGTTGTAAATCTGTCTGGAAATTTTAAAGCCTAGGTTTTTTAAACGTAATTTTGCGTATAATTATTAATTCATTCCGAGAAATATTTAGGACGATACATACTTGCGTGAGGTGAAGTAAATTGTTTATGTCGTTGAAATATTGTTAATTAAAAATTTAATTAAGTTTTTGTGACATTGCAATGCTTATGAAACAAAATTTTTCTTTTTTTAGTTTTAACTCTTAATATTTTAATTATTTTTTATCTTTATTGTGAAAATTTAATTAAATTACAAAGTTATATTCGTATTTAATCTAAAAATAAGTGAATCACTTAGAAAATAATTCAACAATATCCTCATTTAGTGTCAAATGCCAATCAAAAACATATAACTCACATGAAGAACCTGAGCGCTGGTTAATATCAAAGTTTATGTCGAGTTTATTAATTAATCAACTCTCGTTACACATGATTGATGGGTTTAACGATTAAATAACTACTAACCAATTGATCCGATTTGTATTAATTTTTTTCTTTTACTTTTATTAAAACTAAACTTATAAAAACGTATATTAAACTAGATTGCTGTGTATTTTAAAAGAGGAAGATTCTGTTTGGAGAATATAATTAAATAATTAGTTGATTTACGTCGCGTACAGTGACTATGACCATTTGATAACAATAATTACACGAGTTAACTTTGAGGCAGGATTATTTAAATTGCTGCAAGCATTTATTTCCTTCGTTATTAAATGTCATTATTAAAGCTATGAGTAACACCGAGAAAATTACATTTTATGTACGCAGCGCTTAATTCGTATTATGTTGGGATATTTAATGGTATTTCATCTTGATAAGAGTTATTATAATTATTTCTTTCAAGGTTTTCTCTTTGGAGACGTAGATAGCACTGGAGATTGTTTGATTCGGTCAGTCATAGCATCGCATAGATAGTTCTTAAGATAATTGAGAATTAAATAAATTATTAGATGATAAAATCTATTTGTTTATAGTGTACGGTAGTTAAAGTCATGTTTTTAGTAATTATATTTCATTGAACTTTTAGATAAAGTCGCTGTGTTTTTATTCGGAGGTAAAAATATTATTATTCTTTAATTATTCGAAAACTAATTATTATATATTAATGATTATTTCAAAATTTTGTTTAGTATTAAATTCTGAGTATATTTATGTAAGTGTTTTGTTGATAACTATAATGAATTAGAAATTACAGACTCATTCTATAATTCTGACTAAATTCAATTATTTAATAGCAATTAGCAATTGTTTAATTGCTAGAATTCTATCGAGAGTTGACGTATAATTTAAGTAAGAGTGTATTACTGAAGGAATTCTCGTTCTAGCACTAGTAGTTTTTGAGCAATTAATGAAAAACTATTGCTAACAAATTGGGTTGTGGTGCGGTGTGAATGATACTTATATCGGCATAGTTTTTTAGTGATAACTCGAAAACCAATCGACATTTTTTAATGAAATTTTCAATAATTTATTTAGTATTAAATTGTGAACTAATCCACGTATATTTTATTGGTAACAATTGTTTTCTGTGTGTGGCAGATTAATTTGTATTAATTCTCTGATTCTTACAAAATATAACTTTAATTGTTGATAACTTTTTTCATTTCAATTCTATCAAGCTGATATTTTGATAAATTGATGTTGAATTTAATATTAAATTTATTTCCAAAAGAATTCCTTTAATTGCACAATTAGTTTTTGAGTCTTTAATTACAATTAAAGTATCACACTACACTACATTTTCACTTTATTTTCATTTTTAACAATAAAAAGCACAATAAATCATTGTCCACTTTTCACAATTAGAGTTTGAATTTCTCTTTCAAGAATTCTCAGCAAAACAGCAAATATAACATATTTGTCATCCCATGACATAAATTCATACGTGCTTAAACGTTCTTTATTGCTTGTTAGCGGTGCGCAATCTCTGACTTCTTGTTGTTTTGTTTTTCAATGAGCATCTCGAATATTTCACATCATTCCGATACAATTTCACAATAAATCCATGCACTCGATACAGCCACATCTAATTCAAAATATGGATAAATTCATTTAATATCATATTATAATTATTTCTTGCTTAAAATTAATCTCACGCATAATGCAACAAAACAAATCGTTTGCAAATTGTTTTGCAGTCTGTTCGCCAATGATGCAATTTATTCAAAACAAAATCCTAATTTGTTTCTAATGCGATTATGGCGACATTACCAGCTGGAAATTGCCGTTTTTAAAGTCTCATTACTTTACGCATTTTTCTATAAACACTCGCATGCGAATACGCGTGCAATTCGTACGTAAATATTGCAAAAACAGTTAAATATTTAGTTTCACATCTAAATTATACAAATAACCAACCAGCCGCACTGCGATAACCTTCGACAGCAAATGGCAGTCGAGTCGTAAGAAGTTTAAACTTATTCGACGCCAAATATTAAAATGACATCAATGTTGTGTGTGCAAATGTGCTGAAACAGGAAATTGGTTACGCCCTTATATTCGTAAATTGCACAATCAGAAAATTACGCAAATTTACGACAATTTTAACCTAAAAACGTGAAATATTCGCATCTAATGCGTATTTAATATCACATTTTGCAATTTGTTTGTATTTATTAGTAAAAATAAATAAATTACGCATTAAATTTATAATCACAGAAAAATATGTTGTTTTTCTTTGATTATTAATTATTAAATTAATTAACAAACTGTTTATGTCCGATAAAAACGTCAACAAATAACTTGATCGACTTGTTAATGCAGTTATAAGTTATAACTTACAAGTAACAAGCTCATCAAACTTTTATGGAAGCCTGGGTGCCA